TTTCCTCCCAGCACCGCCCTTGTTTGCAAAAGCAATGATCTCTAGCGAGAAAAATATGCGATCGTTTTGGCACTAAAGGTTGAAATTTTTTAATCGTACCTATGCCACTCGTCTTTTTCAAGCAAAAGAAAGCTGAAATCTCTGTTTTTGGCAGTTTTATGGTAATGAAGTTACTATTGTGATCAGCACACAGAAAAAGTCCAGAAGAGGTGGAAAACTCAGGGTTGAAAATTTGCACGGACTGCCTTTAAGCATGTCATTGCAGGACATTGTTCACCCACATCCCTATAACGAGCTGAATAGCGTCAGAGAACTAACTTTCAGGCACCAATCATTGCCGTTGTTAATGGTAGTTCAGATTTATCGAAATTTGTTCAAAAAGGAGTAAGAAAAGGCCAACGTATGCGTTTGGGCGGGACGGCAAACTATTTACAAAAATTGGTGGTTTTCGTAGGAAAAGCGGAAGGAAAAAAGAAAACGAGAAAAGTTTGACAAGCAAAATAGGATCTCACTTGATTGAATTTTTTCTGCGCAATATTTCAAAATATCAACCTATTCTCGGGGTAAGGAAGAGAGATATGAAAGACTTTTTTCCGGCGACATATAACTTAAATAGACATTTTAGTTTAGTATAAAAGTTTTTAGAAAAACCACAGATGGCTGAAATTCGTACCTTATTCTTAACCTTATAGGCCAAGGCTTTATTAATGTTGTCGTCGAATGCAACTAATACTTTAGTTGCCAACGTACGACTAATTAAACCTTCTTCCACGAATTCTTCTAGAGTATGAGTTAATGCCGCACCAAGTGTTGTCTCTCTATACATTGTATATGACATTTTTCTGTAAAATCAAGGTTTAAAGGATACAGTGAGTTTTTAGGGCTGCATTGAGAGATTAGTCCAAACAAGTTGTAAGGAAAGTTGCTCAAACCAAACTAGCCAAGGTAAGCAAGGTAAGGGTAAATATAGGAACTCACCGCTTGTAGGAATCCAAGGGAACTCTTT